AGTGATTCTCCTGCCTCAGCCTCCCAAGTAGCTGGGATTACAGGCACCCACCACCACCACACCCGGCTGATTTTTATATTTTTAGTAGAGTCTGAGCTTTACTTTCTTGGCCAGGCTCATCTTGAACTCATGACCTCAAGCGGTCTGCCTGCCTTGGCCTCTCCAAGTGTTGGGATTACAGGCGTGAGCCATTGCACCTGGCTGGATTCTCCTTTTGTAAGGATTATAGGTGTTTGTGGTGGCAGTGGGGGTGCTGGGGAGGGATGATATTTGTCCTTTTTTCCTGCATCAGTAAGTCCCTGCTGACTGTGGGCAGATCCCATCTGGGGAAGGGGAAATGGGGCTGCAGAGGCTGGTTACTTCCATACTGCCTTTCTGGACTTTGTCATCAACAGGTGTGTGTCTGTTTTTCAACTGCACTCAAGTGGTCTTTCTGACACTCTTATCAGATCTTAGCTATTTGTTACCTTTGTCCTTTCTTGTGTGTAGGATGAATGCCAGGCATCTCTAGTCAGTCTCCCTGATTCTTTTTTTAAAATATTCTTCAGAACTTTGCTGGAATTCTTCAGCTTATCATCTAGTATCTTGAATATATTACCTATTGTAACTAATATTTTAATCTTCTCTTTCATTGTCTTGTTTTCATCCTTTTTTCTGGCTATGTGGTATGTGGTCTTGTTTTTTGGTTCTCTGGTCATTACAGAAAAATTTAAATGTCTGGAATCATGTGCAGAAGTGGGAAAGTTTATGGGCAGTGAACACTTATGTACCCATCACCCAGTCAACATTTAGCAACTCACGGGTAGGTTTTTTTTTTTCCCCCGTGTCTGTGCCTTACCCATTTTTTCTCTCCCATCCACTGGATGAATTTGAAGTAAATCCAGGTGTTACATATTTTCTCAATATATTTAAATATATCAAAATAACCGTTTAACACTTTAATTTTAAAGATGGAGTCTTGCTGTTTTGCCCAGTCTGGCCTAGAACTCCTGAGCTCAAAACAATCCTCTCACTTCAGCCTCCTGAAGAGTTGAGACTATAGGCACACACCACTGTACCCAGCTTTGTGTTTATAAGACAGGGTCTTACTCTGTTGCCTAGGCTGGAGCACAGTGTCATGACCTTGGGTCACTGCAGCCTTCACCTCCTGGGGCTCAAGCTGTCTGCCTGCCTCAGCTTCCTGTGTAGCTAGGACTCTAGGCACAGGATACTACACCCAGCTAATTTTTGTCTTGTTTTGTAGAGAATGGGGTTTTGCCATGTTGTCCAGGCTGGTCTTGAACTCCTGAATTTAAGCAATCTGCTCACGTTGGCCATTCAAAGTGTTACGATTACAGGAAAATGTCACCACGTGTTTTTTTTAATTGAAAAAAGGTGGTGTCTGGTTACCTTGTCTAGGCTGGTCTCAAACACTTGGGCCCAAGCAAATCCTGCGTTGCCTCCCAAAGTGCTGTGATTTACAGGCAGGAGCCACTACACCTGGCTATGGTCTGTTTTTTTAATTTTAAATTGACATGTAATCCTTATACATAGTTTCAGGGTACAGCGTGCTATTTCAATACCTATATATAATGTATAATGATCAAATTGGGGTAACTATTATTATCTCAAACATTTATTATTCTTTGTGTTGGGAACATTCAAAATCCTCTCTGCTATTTACTTTTTATTTATTTATTTATTTATTGAGATGGATTCTTGCTCTTGTTGTCCAGGCTGGAGTACAGTGGTATGATTTCAGCTCACTGCAACCTCCACCTTCCAGGTTCAAGTGATTCTCTTGCCTCAGCCTCCGGAATAGCTGGGATTACAGGCGCCCACCACAACTCCTGGCTAAGTTTTTGCATTTTTAGTAGAAATGGGGTTTCACCTCGTTGCCCAGGAGGGTCTCGAACTCCTGACTGCAGGTAATCCTCCCACCTTGGTCTCCCACAGTGCTGGGATTACAGGTGTGAGCCACTGTGTACCCTGCCTCTGCTAGCTATAAAAAAAAATCAAATAAATTGTTAACTATAGTAATCCTAAAGCCAGGGTCGGTGGCTCATGTCTATAATCCCAGTGCTTTGGGTGGCTGAGGTGGAAGGATTACTTGAGGCCAGGAGCTAGAGACCAGAGTAGCAGTACAGCAAGACTCTGTCTCTACAGTAAGTTTAATAATTAGTTGGGTGTGGTGACATACACCTGTAGTCTCAGCTACTTGGGAAGCTGAAGTAGGGGGATTATTTGAGCCTGGGAGGTCCAGGCTGCAGTGAGCTGTGACTGTGCCACTGCACTCCTGCCTGAGTGACAGAGCTAAATCTCTTCTCTAAACAAATAAAAAACCTAATAAAGTTCCAAAGAACAAAAAAATACTCTAGTCATCCTGCAGAACTATAGAACATTAGAATGTATTCCTCCTGGCTAGATATAATTCTTTGTTAACCAATTTCTTCTTACATTTTCTCTCTATCCTTCCCAGTGTCTAGTCGGTAGTATTCTACTAAGTGTAAATTTCTTTTATTTTTTCTTTTAATTTTGTTATTATTTTTTCTTTTTTTTAAAGAGTAAGAGTTTTGTTACCCAGGCTTTGGTGCAGAGGCACACGATCATAGCTCACTATGAACCTGAAACTCCTGGGCTCAAGTGATCCTCTTTTCTTAGCCTTTAGAGTAGCTGAAATTACAGGCTTGCTCTACCATGCCCAGGTAATTATTTTGTTTTTTTGTAGAGAAGGGGTTGCCCAGGGTGGTCTTGAACTCCTAGTCTCAATTGATCTCTTGCCTTAGTCTCCCAAAGAGTAATTTCTTCAATTTCCCTGATAGTCTTAATTTTAAAAAATTCTTTTTTTTTTTTTTTTTTTTTTTGCCAAATACTTCTGAGGAAAAAATTCTAACTTTTCATTCACAATTTGAATCAAGAGTCACGAGACCTATTAGAATTGCTGATTTTTGAAAATTAAATCACTAAATTACTATGTAATTTACATACAATAAGGTTAGTCTCTTGAATCTATTGTAAGGGTATGTTTTAATTCATTTTGACAAATGTATATACACATATAAGCACCACCGCAATTGAATATTTCCATCACTCAATTATTCTTCATGCCTGTTTGTAATTAACCCCACCACCAATTCTGCATTGTTGTTAACTACTGACATGTTTGTGTCACGTAAGTTTTATTTATTTATTTTATTTTATTATTTTTTGAGATGGAGTCTTGCTCTCTTGCCCAGACTGGAGTGAGAGCAGTGCTGTGATCTCGGCTCACTGCCCCCTCTGCTTCCTGAGTTCAAGTGATTCTCCTGCCTCAGCCTCCCGAGTAGCTGGGATTACAGGCATGTCCCAGCATGACTGGCTAAATTTTGTAGTTTTACAAATACAAAATTTTAGTGGAGAGAGAGTTTCACCATGTTGGCCAGGCTGATCTCGACTCCTGACTTCAGGTGATCCACCTGCCTCGGCTTCCCAAATTCTGAGATTACAGGCATGAGGCACTGTGTCCAGTCGGAAATAAACTTTATGTACTACTTATATCTGGTTGGTATTCCTTTTACTTAGCATATGGTTAGAAGTCATCCATGTTGCTTATTGGTGCATCAACAGTTGGTTTCTTTTTATTGCTGAATAGAATTCCATATGTTGGCATATATACTATAACTTTTTTTTTTTTTTTTTTTTTTTTTTGAGATAGAGTCTTACTCTGTTACCTGTCGTATGTGGTACCATCATAGCTCACTGTAGCCTTGACTGCCTGGGCTTAAGCCCATTCACCTCAGCCTCCTGGATATCTGGGACTACAGGCGCATGCTACCACACCCAGCTAATTTTAAAATTTGCTTTGTAGAGTTAGTGTCTTGTATTGTTGCCCAGGCTGGTCTAGAACTTCTAGCCTTAAGTGATCCTCCCACCTTGGCCTTCCAAAGAATGTCCTTTTTTTTTTTTTTTTTTTTTTTTTTTTTAATTTGAATCCACTCTAATGGTAATTTGGTTTGTTTTTAGTGTGAGTAAAGTTACTTTGTTTCGCTTTTTGTGTTTTGTTTGTTGGCTACCTGTCTGGACTAATACTGTGAATTCTGGCTGCCCTCTAGTTTGTAGCCGTTGATATATCTGTTGGTTATTGTTATTGTTTCAATACTTAATTCTTTATTTTCAAGCCTCACTTCTAGGAGTTAACTCCTGAATTGGCATAGCTTATTTTTTTCCCTGTCTGTTTCAATTTCTAGGTTTCCCTCTTTGTTTTGTTACAGAAACTGCTGATTCCATGGCTTATTTAGTGCATAGGATTTCCCATCTTGACTTTGTAGATTTTATCCTTGTGCAGTTATTTATTCTTTTCTATTTCCATACTTTTATTACTGGATCTAGAGGCTAGATCAGATTTGGTTCACATTTCTTGGCAAGACGTTTTTTAGGTTGTATTGTGTTCTTCCTTGGGGTTGGTTGGAGTTCCATATAATGCCATATTTATGCTTGTTTTGTAATGCAAGCAGCCATTGCCTAGGGCTTTTATTACATTAACAGTTACAAAACTAATCCTGTCACTTTTTTCCTTGATTAGGTGGACTATCTGTATCAGGAGAAACTTCCCTTAATTACCTGTTTGATTACTTTGATTTACAATTTTTACATAAAAGGCAGGATAAATGGCTGATTTCTCCCTTTGTTATCCAGTTTTCAGTGAATGATTTAATATTTGCAAAGGTAATCACTTTTTTGTTTTTGAGAATCATTAGGAGCTCATGTACTCAAAAATAATGTTTTTGCCTTTATTTATTTAAGATTTGGGGGATTTAAGATTTGGGGGATTTGTTGTTGTTGTTGTTCTTGAGACAGTTTTGCTCTTGGTACCCAGGCTGGAGTGCAGTGGTGCTATCTCAGCTAACTGCAACCTCCGTCTTCTGGGTTCAAGCAATTCTCCTGCCTCAGGCTCCCAAGTAGCTGGGATTACAGGCGTATGCCACCACATCTGGCTAGTTTCCTGTATTTTTAGTAGAGACGGATTTTCACCATGTTGGCCAGGCTGGTCTCCAATTCCTGACCTCAGATCATCCACCTGCCTTGGCCTCCCAAAGTGCTGGGACTATGGGCGTGAACCACCACACCCTGCCACCAGTAACTCTTTAGATTTGCCCCTTTGAGGCTATTTTTTAGATTATGTAGGCATGCTTTGTTTTTAAAAATTCCTTTTTTTTTTGTCTCCTGTGACCTCTGTATTTTCAAATAGCCTGTGTTTGAGCTCATTTTTTTCTTCTGTGATCAATTCTGCTGCAGAAGACTGATACATTCTTGAGTATGCCAGTTGCATTTTTCAGCTCCAGAATTTTTGCTTTTTACATGTTTTCATCTTTGTTAAAGTTATCTGATAGAATTCTGTTTACTTTCTCTGTGTTATCTTGAATTACTTTGAGTTTTCTCAGCATAGCTATTTTGCATTCCCTGTCTGAAAGATCACATTTCTGTTTCTCCAGGATTGGTCCCTGATGCTTTATTTAGTTCATTTGGTGAGGTCATGTGTTCCTGGGTGGTGTTGATGCTAGTAGATGTTCTTGAGTGTCTGGGCATTTAAGAGTTAAGTATTTATTGTACTCTTCACTGCCTGGCCTTATTTATAGCTGTCCTTCTTGGGAATGCTTTCTAGATATTTGAAAGAACTTAGGTATTGTGTGATCTAAGCTGTATCTGCTTTAGGGGGAACCCCAAGCCCAGTAACTCTGTGGCTTTTGCAGACTCCTGGAGGTACCACCTTGATGGTCTTCAACAAGATCTGGGGAATTCTGTGGATTATCAGGCAGAGACTCTTGTTGTCTTTCCTTACTTTCTTCCAAACATACAGTCTCTCTGTTGTGAGCCACCTAAACCTGGGGTTGGAGTGAGTGATGCAAGCACCCTTGTGACCACCACCACTATGACTGACTATAATTTCAGGGTCAGTCCTGAAATTAAGACCATGCAGGGTCTCATCCAAGGCCTGCTGTGACTGCTCTCTGGCTACCTCCCATGTTTGCTCAAGGCCCTGGTGCTGTGCAATCAGCAGTTGACAAATCCAGTGAGACCTGCGTCCTTTCCTTCAGTGCAGCAAGGTCTCTAGACCCCAGGTAGGTCCAGAGGTGTTGTCTAGGAGTCAGGGGACTAGAGTAACACTCTTGTATTGTGTCTTTTCTGGCATTCAAACCACAAGATGAGGTGTTTCTCATTCTTCCCTCCCATTTCCAAAAGCAGAGGAACCTCACCTTGTAACCACTGCCACCCCAAGGCCACAAGGGGTACTACCAGACTACCACCTGGGACTCACACTTCAGGGCAGTGGGCCCCCCTGTGGCCCAGGGCAGGTCCAGAAATGTCATTTAAGAGTAAGGTCTTAGAATTGGGGACACTCAAAAATCCACTGGCTTCCCCCCATCACCCATGGTCGTTCTGGTGGTACCTAAGCTGCAAGACAAAGTCCTGTTTACTCTTTCCCTCTGCTTTTCTCAGGTAGGAGTTTTGCCCCATAGCCACCATGCTTGGTGCTGAATTTCACTGAAGCCAGCAAGTCTCGGAGGATCACCTGAGGCCCTAGTGTAGTATTTGGATATCGCTGCTGGTTATTTAGGGCCTAAGGGCTCTTCACTTTGTAGGTGATGAATGCTGTCATGTCCTTGCCTTCAAGGCAGCAGGCTTTCTTCTGGCCCAGGTATATAGAAATGTCTGAGCTAGGGCCCTGAACAGGGACCTCACAACTCTGAGTGGTGCACTATCTTGCTGTGGCTGAGCTGGTATCCAAAATGAAAGACAAGTCCTCCCTGCTCTTCCTTCATCTTTTCTCAAACAGAAAGAAGGGGTCTTTTATTGAGCCCTGAGTTGTGCAGCCTGTCTAGGGGAAGGGGTGATGCCAGCACTCTTTTGGCTGCCCCACCTGATGTCTCAGTATGTTGCATTCTCTGCTTCTGTCCCTCTCCCCACCACCTCTACTGTCTTGGGGCCCCGTTCATTACTAGGACTCAGGTAAGAATTGTAGCCCTTATGGCTTAGACTGCCTTTCCAAGCTTACTTGGAGACATGGAGTACTTTAGTGCCCTGCAGCGAGGCTTGTGGGAACTCAAGTTGGGACCATTGGGATCAGCAATTTCCCTCCAGTTAGGGCTAGTTTAAGTGCTCCCTTTCTGGGTGGCTGTCAGCTTAGTTTGGTCTGGTTTTCCTTTCTGCTCTAACAGGACAGCACTGAGGTCATTGCCTTACAATTGCTGTGTTCTCCCTCCCCCAGCACCCAGTGGCTGTAGGCACCAGGCCTTTGCTGCTGGATGGGAGAACAGGAAGTGTGTATAGATGTTGATTGAGGACTGTTGTTTCTCTGTCTTCAGTGTCTCTTTCAGTGATATGCAGTTAAAACCCGGTACTATTAGTGCTCACCTAATTTTTTTTTCTTCTTATGAAGGTGTTTTTTTCTATGTAGATCTTAATTTGGTGTCATTGGTGGGGGCATGGGCATGATCAGTGGAGCTTTCTATTCTTGTTCTGCCTCCCACCTATTTTCAGTCCAATAAAAAAATCAGTGGTGGCCGCGTGCCTGTAATGCCAGCACTTTGGGAGGCCGAGGTGGGCAGATCATGAGATCAGGAGTTCAAGACCAGCCTGTAACCTCAGTGCTTGATCTGATTGGCTAAAAACTTGGAAATTTCTTGAATAGATAAGGAGGAAACAAGACAAGGAAGAAGAGGAAGCTAGTCAGGAGGTGGTTAGGTGGGTTTCCAAATAAGAAATGGCATGCACCAGGGTTTGGAGCTTGCTCGGTTCTGTTCAGACATGCCGGAGCAAGTCAAGGTAGCTGATTTAAGTTGTAGCTGATTTAGAAAAAAAATATATATATGGGTATATGTTTATGCTAATAGCGGATAATGGCCATAGAGGAAGAGATTGTAACTCTTTATAATGTAGTCTAAGATACAAACTTTGAAGAAGAACTTTCCCATCTCTCACAATTCCCTCTTCTTTTTATTTCATAATTCTTCTTCAAACTTTTCTAATAGGTCCTTGTTTTGTTGTTAGGCTTGGTCTTCCAGCAGAAGTAATTTCTCTGGATAGGGTGGAGGAGGAGTTGGAGATAGGTTAGCAAGAGTAGTATCAATGAGCCTTTACACGAGTCCTCGAACACAGGGTATAACACAACACCCTACAAGAAGAAGTATACCTAATACCGCTACCAGGGAAGTGAAAACTGATGCCAAAGTACTCTTCCATTTGCTGAACCAGTTCTGTAGCCAGTTTGAAATGGGGTTATTTATTCCTGAATTTTTGGCTAGCTCATTAGATAGGGCCCTAAGTCCCTGTAAGGCTCTGCTGATACTTCCATCTGCAGCTGTGTTACTGGGAATGAAAGTACACAGCTCAATGTTTATGCGGACGTCACCCTTTTCAGCTAACATCATGTCAAGAGCAATCTTGTTTTCCCATGCCATTTGGGTGGTAGACTTTTAACTGTTCTACGATTCCCTTAACAGCATCCTTGGTATAGTTAACAAATCGTTATTGATTGTAATAAATATAATTTATCCAGTCTACATTTTTATTTATTGTCACCCACCAGAATAGTGTTGATTCAAGTCCAGCAGCTATCTGACCTCTGACTTTAAATTCATTTGGAACTCCTTTTGGGATCCTAATTGCATCTACGTACACATGAGAATCAAAGGACCCATATGGGGCTCCTCTTGTATGTCATTGGTGGGTTTCCTTTATCTTTGGTTGATGAAATGCCGTGGTAAAAGGGATAGCCAATTGGAATACAGTGCAAATACCACTACAGTTATGTGCCAGAGTGTCCAGTAAGGGGGTCCCCCACAATAACACCATACATCTGCTCGGGGGTAAGGGCGGACTGATGAGCCAGCTCTTGGAAGTGTCTGACTTCACAGCATCCTGTTAAGTTTCCAAGGAACGCTAAGTTCTCCCCCTGTTGTGAGAGACACAGGCGAACTTCACCTAGGGAGATGGATGGTGTATGACCCTTGGGGGCTGACCCCACAGAGTGTTGAACCTCAGGAAATAGCAGAGAAAGAACTTGGCACAATTTGTTATTCCAGACGTTGGAATCCTGAGAAAGAGCTACTATGCATTCCAAGTCCGCTTGATTTGAGGATCATCCAAGTGGAAAGGGGACAACCTGGGCCTCTGGCCTACCACCGTATGCGCACAGGCATAACAGTCACTTTTATTTTAGGTGCGGATGGAATATTTAATCCATTCTAACCAGGCGTTTGCATCCTTATATTCTGTTTCAATGGCTATGGTTTGCCTTGGGTCCTCTACTTCTGTTGAGACTTTGGTTTTGTCATTGTGTCTGGGAGGAGTGATTGATAAAGAGGTTGAAGGAGCAATAAAGTACACTTCAAAAATTTCTTAAGGATCCTTCTCTGAAACATCGGCTCCTATACCATAAATACGACTTAATGAAAGGGAAGAGTTTTCAGATGTTGCAATAACGGTAGTAAGCTGCATTGGATTACATTGGTTATATTGACAACTAGAAAGAGTAATTCCTTTGGTGAAATGGATATATAATTTTAAGGACTAAAAAGACCTGTGGAAGCAGTCTGTCTTAAACCTTTAGTGTTCCATATGACATTAGACTAAGCAGAACATAGAGATTCTGTTTTAGAGGGACAGGAGTCTGATTCCTGCCAATTAACACAGGTACTATTCCTTGGTTTACTAGTATCCTTAGAGGAACTCATATGTCTTCCTAATCTGAGGAAGTCTAAGAAGGACAGAGACTTCCTTCCAAAGCAGCAAGCTGTCCTTCGTTATGCAGACCACCACAAGGCCTAACTAAACAGACACCAAAAGTAACAGCTTGAGGTGAGACAGATCTAAAACCATTAATCATTAATAACAAGATGGGGAGTAGTTAAAGAGAAGAAAAGAAAAAGAAAAGATAGACTAAGCTCTTCTTAGCTTTAACTTGGTGTAGGATCTGATTCCGGAACAATAGCCCATGATTCTAACGGTGATGGCACTTTGACTTGGGTGTGAAGTGTCCATCTCTTTTCTGCTGTACGAACGGCAGTCTTGGTGGTTAGCAGCATGAGGTAGGCTGGTCTCCAGGCTAGTGCTGGTGTACTGGAAATTCTAGGAGTGGTGTCTGTGCTAAAAGACCTTCTTAATCTTTGTTAAAGAGCAGGTTAGTGCTTTAAGAAAAACCTGTTGGCTAGGTGTGGTGGCTTATACCTGTAATCTCAGCACTTAGGGAGGCTGAGGAGGGCAGATCACAAGGTCAAGCGTTCAAGACCAGCCTGGCCAACATGGCGAAACCCTGTCTCTACTAAAAATACAAAAAATTAGCTGGGTGTGGTGGTGGACACCTGTAATCCCAGCTATGCAGGAGGCTGAGGCGAGAGAATATCTTGAACCTGGGAGTCGGAGGTTGCAGTGAGCCAAGATCTTGCCATTGCACTCCAGACTGCGAGACAGAGACTCTGTCTCCAAAACACAACAAAACCTGTTGCGCTTTTATTTTAATGTCCATTTTACAGAAAAACTGGATAATACCTCTTTAACTTTAGCTATTATGTTTACACACAGAATTTCCTTTACAGTTAACATTTCAAAGTTGCTTAAACTCACACCTGTAATCCCAGCACTTTGAGAGGCCAAGGTGGGCGGATCACGAGGTCAAGAGATCGAGACCATCCTGGCCAACATGGCGAAACCCTGTCTCTACTAAA